TTTCATCGCTCCTGTGGCCAGCTGGCTCCGCACCCGCCGCTTTAGCGAGCCTACTTTCGACCCTCCGGAGCCACAAATCATTGGAAAAAACACAGTGTTTCGCGACTTTCCTACCTTTTCGCGCATCTGTATCTTCTGTCTTCTTACTCTTTCTCTTCTGATCTTCTCTCTTCTAATCTTCCTCTTCTCTCTGCCTCTGCCCTGCTCTGCTTTTCATCTCCCCATATTGTCGGAAGTTTGACTTCTAAACTTCCTTCAAATAACCATATATCAACCATTATCAACTGTATATTAACCAGGATCAGTATTGAAACAACCGTGGTTTTTCTTGGAGATCCCCATGTCGAAACAAAGCATCAAAGCCCAGGCCCCAGAACAGCTCACCTCCCATGGCCTTGCCCATTTGCGTAGAGCGATGGCATGCGGAAACCATGGAGAAGAACAATGACTTCTTGTGCCTTGGCTGCTTAAAAAGACTTTAAAAGGCTGAAAATTAAATATGTTTCTCAGAAAAAAACACGACTTATTTGTTTCCAATGTCCAAACATATATCTGAATTGATCTCAAACTTTTCCGTTTTTTTTTCTCGCTTTCAGTGTTTACCCTGACATGTCTACGGAGGTGCGACTCTTCTGCGCCTGTCTTAGGTCAATCCCCCTGGAAGGCTTGAGGTTACCGTTGCTAGCACCCACACAGCGAGAGCTGCAGAATCTGGGCGGAGCCACAGGTTCTCATGGATTTATCCAGCAAAATGGGGATTGATAGTTGATTTATGGCATTGTTTTACCCACATTAATGGGATAAACATGGAATAAACATGGGATAATATGGTTTCATCAAATGTGGTTGGTATATATATATATATATATGACCATTTGTCAAAAATAGTTGTTTAGAAGTTTAGTATTGGTTGTTGATAATTCTTCTGGGTCTACTGTTTTTTCCTCTTCGTTATGAGGCGGCACGCAACTAAATTCAGCAATTCTGCAAGGCAGCGCTAGCAAACCCGCTAGGTTTGCGCTAGGTTTGATTGACAGCCATGGCCTCCATGTCGCGAATGTCTTGCCAGCTTTTCTTACAAGTCTGTCAGTTTCCACATATTCCCAAATTTTCGATTTTTTTTACGTATTTTACGCGCTAGATCGCCGCTAGCAACGCGCTAGCAAAAATTGCAAATACATGCCCCGGTCCGCCCGCAGCCTATTCAGAGGCACAGCCATGTTCACGCTTTGGTAGCTTACAGTAAGGAAACAGCATTGATCAGGAGGCATGTCAAGAAGCATATTGCATTCAGAGAGGCACACGCACACAGAGACACACAGTTCAGGAGATAGTACCAGCGACAGCGAATGAAAACCGACGTGCGTTAGCCGATTCCTGTGGTTTTAGAAAGATTTCCAAAGGTAACGAAGAATTTCCACGATTTCGCGTCATCAAGGTAGGTCATGTTTTTTAAAGGCAAACATGAGGCGGCACACATGGAATTGCGATTTATCAACAAAACCGGGAACAAACATTTTGACAAAACGTCATATGGATAATAATTGGTTAATATGGATAATATCATCAATATTGATGTGGTTAATAATTGGTTTATATTGATACTGGGTCGTATGTGGATATCCATATTATCCATATACATATATATACATATCTGGGTAAATTATAACCATATTATCAATGGTAAATTCCATTATTAATGATGTTATTAATGATGGTTTAATGGGATCTAGTGGAATTCAACTATTCAACCATCAACAATGGGTATAATGGGGATATATCTGTATCTGGGTAAATTTCATCACCTGTCCCTGGTCCGTGGTCGTGGTCACCTACTCCGGCAGCAAGGTCGAGAGCCCCGCAGGCCTTCGGCCCCCGGAGGCCGTGCTGCACCTCGAGCTGGCGGTGCCTTCTGTTGGCCCCACTTCTTACACGCCGAGGTTTTCTTCGGGCTGGAAGCGCGATGAGGTGGTCATGGCGCTGGTGCGGCTTCCTCTCCACTGGTTGAGCCTCCAGTGGACTTCGTGCCTCGAAGCCAGCAAGGTGCATCCACGGGACGGAACGCGCCCCCAGCGTCTTCACCTCTGGAAACTGACAGAGATGCTGCAGCGGACCTCTCCAGAAGGCGCTGTCATCTTTTTGGGAGAAGAGAGAGCCGATCTGTCCACTGCAGCGGCCAGGTGGTTCTGCGAGGCTGGCCTTCGCAAATGAAGCAGCGTGCGGATGGCGTGTAAAAAAGCGAGAATGAGCATCGTGCAGCTACTTGTCTTGTCGCTCATCACATGATGTCGCATAGCAGCTTTGCACGCTGTGAGGCCGCAAGGTGGCTTCTTGCCCGGATCCTGGCCGGTTGGGACGAACCACAGCCAACAGTGACCGTTTGACCGATCGGACAAGCTTTCTAGATTTGCGGAAAAAAGAAACAAGAGTTGCCCCAACAGAGCGATAGGCACTTGTGATATATCATTTCTGGCAATTATTCCAAAACTGGAAATCATTTCTCGGATTGTCATGGTTCAGAAGTTTGTTCAAATCAGCAATCAAGGCTTAAGGGATCCAGCAAAAAAAATCTAGCTGCCATGACTGCCACGGCCAACCCCCTGGCAATGACAAAGCGTCAAGCGGTGATGTTGGTGAAGCTAGGTGCACCGCTCATAGTGCCAGGATCTTATTTGAATTGTGATTCTGAACAGAGTGAGAGACAAGAATGAACAGCTACATCTAGTAATTTGTCTTGATGAGGCTGCATTTGATCGACTTCATTTGCCAGAGCATCCCGGTTTCGTCAGTCAATGCTCGCCGTGTCCGGAAACCCAATATGATATGATGCAACACCTATATGATCTCAAACTTCTCACCGCATCTAAGAATTTGCAAGTCTTCGAAGTGTTCTCCGGGGTGTCCCGAATCCACTCGCAAGCGAGCAGGAATCTCAGTAGCTAGTGACAAGTCATGCTTTGATTCATGTATCCGGCCAATTCCGAACAACGGCCTCTAACCAAGAAAGTTTAAGCTCAAGTCGCGCTAGTCTCAGCGTTGACAGCAAAAAGTTTTTCGATCTGATCATAGCTGACCCACACAAGTTCTTAGGGACTACTACGACTGGATCTATCGCCCGCGCATCAACAACATAGAGTCAACGTCACAGACTCAGAAAGGAAATGGCAATTTGAAGTGGTTGGAAGTTGTGACACCTCTTCTTTTCCATCTAGGAGTTTCCAATCCAACAACTGGCAAAAGAGTTGGAGAGGAAACCATTGAGAGAGTTTTTCAGGTCAAGCAGCTAAAGAAATCACACTTATTCGCAGTACTTTGTAACCTATTGGTAAGTGGTGGAAACACCTTGAGTCCTTTGGTGATGGCCGCGGATGATCAGTGTGAGACTGCTGGCGTAGCTCTTCAAGATGAAGGTTCAGAAAGTACAACATGGAGAGGACTGATGATAATCATTCTCTTCTTCACCACCTTGGCCGTAGCAAGATGGATCTACGTATGTTATCACAACAGAAGGATCAGGCAGATGCGGGACGAATACAGTGATCTCGACATCAGTAAAGCTCACGATCCCGATGAGTGGATGGCATTCCATCACAATGTCCAATTTCCGGACCGAGCTGATCCAATTCTGACGGAAGATGACCCAATGGAAGAGGATGAAGAAGAAGTTGAAGAAAGAAGAAAACTGAAAGTGAGATACCCCATTGAGAACTCCAGGATTCCTCACAGTCCTACAGCTATACTTGTTTGGTTCACAGAAAGAATCGAGCGCAGAGTTGCGCGTGGTTTCTACGCTCCTAGCTATGTTGCTGGCCGCCTACAGGCATTGTCCGACTTTATCCAAGACTGCCTGACAGCTACCACCATGGAACAACATCAGGTTTACATGGAGGTGATCGGGAACCTCGGTGACTTGAGCAGTGACGAGGATTCGCCGATCCATCAGCTCGGAGCCTACGGAATAGAAACAGAACTCCGACAGGCACATCAAGCAATTCAGATTGGAACAAGTTTGGTAGCCACAGTAGCAGCAGCAGCAACGGGTTCAATGCCGTCTACTGGTGGATCCAGCGCTGGCAGCGTCGTGACAGACGCAATCGCATATTCAATGATCAGTGGAACTGACAACCCAGTTTCCAGGTACATGCGAGGATTGAGTGACCCTGGAAGAATGGATGGAGAAAACTGAGAGAAAGGTGACTACGCATGGAGCTAACATGATCTCCATGGTAGTAGCTACGCATGGTGCTAACGCGATCACCATGGTGGCATTTTCAGATTTGCAGTTTTCATGGAATAGCTGTGTGGTGAGTTAACGCGATCTCACCAGCAGCGGCTGAGAGCTATGAATGCCAGACGTTTCACACGTTTGCAACTTTGGTGTTTGGTTACCATTTTGTTGCTTCAAAATCCAATTTCTCCATGGCACTTAGCGTAGGGACATGGATGATGTCCTCATGGAGATGAAAACGGTGGAAACATTGTAGTAATTTTCACACTCCACGGCTTGAATGAGCCTTTTGGGTGTGAAGGCGGGTGATTACATGTAAAGCATGTAAAACAAACCGTTTTGCGTTTTCCATGCAATGGCATGGATGGCATGCAATAAATGTTGCATGGATGCCGATGTGTTTCTTGCCCAGGAAAGGTTTGCAACATTATTGATATATTTTTGTTTGCCGTCGTGTCTTCAGGCCTGCAATTCCCTTCTTCAAGAACAAGATGACCAAGGAACGTCGGGAGCATCTCAAGGCTTTGCAGAAGAAGAAACGGAAAGTTATTGTGCGAAAATGTCCCAATGGCACAGTGTAGCTCGGTGAAATGTCTTTTGTATCAATTTTCAACCTTAGATGGGGAAAGAGATTGTTGTTGGCTTCTATTCGCTCAGGTCCGGCGGCAGAGGTTTGAAAGACACTGGTGCCTATCCAATGCCCTTTGCCAAGCGTGTCATTCAAGAACAACGCCGTCTCATGGCCATGCCCCCAGGTAGCCATACATACCTGTAAAAATCTAACTATAACACATCTCTGGCCACTGCCCAGGCTTCGAACCAAGAGCCTGCGCCAATTGACTTAGATGATGTGAAGGCAGCGATTCAAAAGCTTCATGTGTTTGTCTCTCACTCTCTCTACACTATACAGAGACATAATAGTTGTTTCCGTATGTTCATATGCATGTAGTACGTATGTTTGTATCCATCTTTATCTCTCCTGTGGATGAATGCTTTGTTCAAACCAAACCCTGCCCAAACTTGGCTAAGTTGGAAACCTGGCCAGGAAGAGCCGTGCATGTGGGCACACGCGAACCTGGCCGAGATCAAGGCTTTTTTGCGAAATAGGATTGAAGATGGCACCTTTAAGCCCCTGTTTCCTTGGGACGATGATGAAGGCTATGATGAGCGCCTCAACAACGTTTGTTGAAAGTTTGCAGCGAGAATTCCCCTCAATGTCAAAACTAGTCAGCTACTCTGTTGAGCACGAGTTTGCACTGTGAGTTTGAAATTGGTTCTCAAGTAAGGTGACTTTTGAGCCATCCCAGGTGACTCCCAGCCTCATCAGACCCTTGAATGGTCTCCATGTCCTTGCCAGTTCAAAGCATGGCGCTAGCGTTGAAATAAACAAGTCAGGTTTTACACTACAAGATACTAAAATTCACAAAGTTGACAAAGTTGTTGTGACCATACGGCAGCTCCCTTGCTTTTGTGAGGACCGTACCATACAAATTCAAGAAATGTGACTACGTTGGCTTGATTTTGGAGTCGACACAAAAGTGCTAAAACCCTTGACCGGGAAATGGCGGCCATTGTTGGGGAAAAAACGGGCATTGCTTGAGAAAAAACGGCCATTGTCCGGGAAAAACGCCTTTTGGCTCACACAGACCGTAATGTGATATTTGCATTTTTACATTAGCAAACTCAATACTCAGTATTTTCACTGCACCTGTATTCACTTTACGAAATTTACAAAAATATAATGGACCGCAGAAGAAATATTCCATGGCCATACCGCTATATTATACTATACGATACTATACTGTACTATATTAAACTATATTATACTATACTATACTATACTATACTATGCTGCATTGGTAATACTATTGTCTTTTGCAGCTGGATCTCGTAAATCGTATTGGAGTGGCTGCATGAAGGCTGCCAAAGTGATTTGTCAGCAGATTTTCTCCATTTTGGCGCTAGTGATTTTCCTTCTAAAAATCCTTTTAAAAAGTGCTTCAAGATCGTCTTTTTTTTCGCTCTGGCGTCAAGATCCGGTTTTGGAGCTACAATTTCCGACGCCGTTGTGCGTAGTTCTGTTGTGTTTTGCAACTCAGTCTCTGCAGATCGCATTGCAATGGCTGTGTCAAGGTTGCTTCGTGCTGTGGCTGCATTTGTAATACTATTGTCTTTTGCAGCTGGATCTCGTAAATCGTCTTGCAGTGGCTGTATGAAGGCTGCCACAGTGATTTGTCAGCAAATTTTCTCCACTTTGGCGCTAGTGATTTTCCTTCTAAAAATCCTTTTAAAAAGTGCTTCAAGATCGTCTTTTTTTTCGCTCTGGCGTCAAGATCCGGTTTTGGAGCTACAATTTCCGACGCCGTTGCGCGTAGTTCTATTGTGTTTTGCAACTCAGTCTCTGCAGATCCTATTGCAATAGCTGCGTCAAGATTGCTTCGTGCTGTGGCTGCATTTGTAATACTATTGTCTTTTGCAGCTGGATCTCGTAAATCGTCTTGGAGTGGCTGCATGAAGGCTGCGAAATAAATTTGTTAGCAGATTTTCTCCATTTTGGCACTCGTGTTTTTTTGTTGCACGTAGGTTTAGAGCAGTGCGAAGTGTGGGGCGTAAAGAGTGCAGTGTGAAGTGTGAAGTGTGAAGGAAGCAGTGAGACGTGTGAAGTGTGAAGTGTGAACTGTGAACTGTGGAGTGTGAAGTTTAAGTTTGGAGTGCGAAGCGCGCAGTGTGAAGTGTGAAGGAAGCAGTGGGAAGTGGGAAATGTGAAGTGTGAGGTTTGGAGTGTGAAGGAAGCAGTGAGAAGGGTGAAGTGTGAAGTGTGGAGTGTGAAGTTTGAAGTTTGGAGTGCGAAGAGTGCAGTGTGAAGTGTGGAGTGTGGAGTGTGAAGACTTTGCTTTGTCTATCGCTGAAAAAATCAAACGGTTGTCGAGGGAAGAACACAGTCAGGACAGGTTGTCTTCGAACTATAGGTCATTTATGTTTGGGTTTGCCAATCACCGTCAAGGCCAGCAGGTGTCTTTGATCTGTGATAGAGTCTCGCAAATTGTTATGACTGACACCAGGCACAAATTGTGAGCTATCTGCCAATACCGTGCGTGGATTGGTGGGCTTATCCGCCCCAGATTTTGCGCAGAAATCGCACGCAGCGGCTGCAGGTTCGTATATAAGAGTCAGTGAAGAGTGCGGGGGTCATGGTCCATGTGTGTATGCTTGCCCAACATCCTTGCTTCAGGCTCCCGGATTATGGGCATTCACTGCCAAAAACTACGGCAGTGATCTGGATCCATTGTCTCTTACAGCAGTGGCCCCAGAAGCAACTCTAAGTGCATTGAGAATTTACACCACCTGCACGCATGTAATGGCCTACTTTCTTCAGGCATCGGTCATGCCGGGGACATTGGGCGAGCTGTGGAGCTGTGGAAAGCCTGGATCTTATAATTAGTTGCTGTTTAGCCTTCTTGGCGGTAGCCTTTTAGGTGCAAATCTCCTTGTTATGGAGCTTCCAGGCTTGCCACTGAGGTCTCCCATGGCGGTTGCGAGCCTGGAAGAGGCTTAGACCCAACTAAAATCTGTTTGGATGGTTGAAGGTAAGAAACTACATTACGACATCTCCCTTTTTTTGGAATCCAGTCTTCATCCTAGCAACCCAAATTTTTCCCACCGTAGCGCAGAGCCAAACTCCTGTGCCATTTGGGCGACCGCCCGTGGGTTCCCATTCCGCCACGAGACTCAGATGGGCTCATAGAGGCGCCGGAATGTATAGAGGCCACAGAGATGGACTTCTTTGAAGTTTTGATCCAGTCCTAGATGGGGACAGATTCTTATGTCGCTTTTTTTGAGCAGTTGAACCATCTTTAAGTTGCAGGTGGGCATTCTTCATCATGGTTTGTTCGAATAGGCAGGTCGAAAAAAGTGCTGGAATTGCGAATTGTTGATTAGTTGTGGTTATCAACCTATATTTTCCATTTTCCATCCATCCTTGGAGTGCGGCTATAGCTCCATCATTCAACATGCCTTGGCAAACGCTAGCTCTGAGCGACCCCTGGGACAGACAAGATATGTCAATCCTAGCTGCGACAGAATATGATTTGGGGCACTTCGACCTCGGCAGGGCTTTGAAATACAGCAAATAATCAACAACGATAGATACATTAGTTGATTCAGTTCAGGTAGCATGTCTTCCAATAAATCCAACCCACAACTGCCAGCATTAGTTCTGGAATATGCACATTATATACTTAATCAGAATCCGTCTGTCCGAAACATATATTTTGATTTTTAGGGGATCAAGTCAATTGCCAGATGGTGGGCGGACCTCACCAGAGACGGTCGCTGTCAGGATATATTTCCGGGCAACATGGATGTATTTGAAGAGGCATCAGCAGCTAGGGTTGATTTACGTCTTTTAGATGGTTTCGTTCTTTTTGAACTATCCAGATCACATGGGCATTAGAGCTACACAGACTTAAAAGAACTGGATTCAAGTCGATTTTTAATCATTAAAGACCCTTGACGGTGGCAGGCTCATGGCCCACTTTGATACCTCTGTCTCCTCACCTTGAGTGCCCGAAAGCGGCCTTGCGGCATCTGATGGGCCCGAGTCATCGAAAAAGATCTGGCCGGAGATCTTGAAGACGAAAAATTGTAGTAATCCCAAAAAGTCAAGGAATAGCAGCACCTCAGAAATTCCAAGGAAAATTCAAAGACTCAAAGAGGCAAGGAAGAACAGCACTTCGGAGGAGGACAGTCCTAACACTGCACTAGTCAGTAAAAATCTTCACTTTACCGATGATGTGCCGCAGCAGTTTAACAGGAGCTTGCACCCTGCAAGTGCATGCATCGCAAATGCTCCATAGATGACACACGTACCGAGGGAACCCAGTGGCGATCAATCAGAAGTCCAAGAAGATTTGACCAAAATGTGGTTATCACATGAATCCCTGCAAGCTACTGCTTTGTGCATGTTAGATGAGTTGCACACACTTTGCACATACAGTGCACCACACGCACTCTTGCATCAACTTTATCGAGCCATGTGAAGGGAACAGACACTAGCTAACGGTCCTTCTTTTTGTTCCGCTCGATTAAATGCTGCATCGCCGACTAACCAGCAGATTTAAGGAAGTCATACAATTTCGTTGGGTGGGGATTTCCCCTTCAAAGCCTTAACATTTTGGGATCCAAGTTCGAACAAGGCTCTCACAGACTTGCACTGCCAAGCGCCCGCTTTGCCATTGGACGGGCCTTCCGGTCCCTGCGTCAGCCTGGCGGCCCAGTCAAGGTGCAGCAGAACTACTGAATCAAGTGTGGCAGACGTGCTCATCTCGCATCTGATCAGGGAACAGATGCACAAGGTGATGTTGTCATTCAAGCTTTGAGTATCGATGGGGGCATGTCTTGGGTGTGCTGTGCAATGAGAAAGTTCAGGATTCAGGATTTTATCAAGAAACATACGAAACCATAAGAAACCCTGCATTTGCTGTTCTCATGAGTGGCTGCTGATTGCCCCGAGGTCAGGGTTCAAGGGCTCCTTAAACCTGCCAAGCAGAGCCCGTTTCGATCGCGTTTTTCCGTGGGCCTCAGCCGGGGCCTGAAACTGGTTCTTTCGTGGTGCAGGTTGCTGATCAAAGATGTTGAATTCACAAAGGGCTAGAAAAACTAAAGGGCAGCTGCCTGGATCGGCTTTGTTTGCCTTTCGATGGCGTTGAGGTCGTTACAAGTAGTACCGCACAAGGCGGTGGTGGAAGTTTCAAAAATAAGAAACCTATAGGAGAGATTGGCTGTTGTGAATCAGGGATGGCAGAGCGAATCCACTGATGGACCGAAAGGTGCTTGAGGTCTCCTCTCTTTCTCTCTCTTTCTCTAACTATCTACTTACCTACCGGCCTATCTAAAGCATAAGAAGGTTGCCTAAAAAAGGAAAGTCAATCCGAGAAGCGGTGTGTCATGGGGAAATGGACGAAAGATTTGCTTGGACATGAAATAGACTTTATCATAGAAACCATAAGAATGTAACGTTGGTCACATCCAAGTTTGTATGTTAGAAATGACATGAAACCTGCTGTTCCATGCGGACGATGATAGTCCTGACTGTTTAAACAGGCATGCGGTTGTCAACTTTTGAGTAACAAGTGTACATTATATAAATGCATTGTAGATACAGACATTCAAGTCGCCTGCTTCAGAATTAGCACACTTTGACCATCAGTATATCCATCGAATGTCCCTCTGGCGGAAGATTATTGATGTCTGACGTAAGCAGTGTGCCATGCAGCTGGCGCGAGTTCTAGTAAATGGTGTAGGATCACGCCCGGGCTGGTTTTTCGTTGTTTCTTGAGTCGGCAACAACCGCCGGTCATGCCGCCACGTATTTTGAGACATATTGTTAATCATTATATGTAAAGGGCTGCCACCCACTGCCGCCCGGGGTCCGGCAGGAGAAGGGCACCACAGAATGCGAGTAGTAGTAGCCAAGTTTCCAAAAGTGAGGCTTTGCAAGAGCCAAATAACACCAAGGCTCCTGGTCTTCGCTTTTCCTTCAGTGCACCCCCTGCTGATGGCCGGGGTCTGTGAATAGGGATGTTTTCGCGAAAGTTCCGCGAAAGTTATGCGAAAGAGCGGGCGAAAGTCAAAGTGCATGCTGAAGGGGGTGGGCCAGTAAACTTTGCAAAAACAAATCAGTCCTGAGAAGGGATTCTGTGATGCTAGCTGCATGTTTAAAAGGCTACCAAGAAGTGATCCGTGATTCTCTGGCGTAATTTGGCAGGTGGTGAACGAATCTTCATAAGAGGTGTTGTTGGCCAACATGGGCTCCGCGGAAGATAAACATGGAGTTCGCGAAAGTTTCGCGAAAGTAAAATTTTTATTCGCGAAGAATGGCCGTTCCGGGATAAAGGAATTTTGATCAACAACCATATCATCATGTGTCTTACTACCATGCAGAAAGTGTGTACAGCATGGCCAAACTACTCGGTTGTGTCGAAACCGATGAACTTTGAGGTCATGGACACTTCGTGCCCCTGAAGGTATCGATGGCGAACCTAAATCGATCGGTGTCCTGTGAAAACCTCAGCTTTACTTTATATACGTTGATTTGCAACATGGTCATAAATGAATGGTGCCTGGCTGAAATCTATCTTCTCATTACTGTAGTGATTTGTAGTAGTCATTTTAACACCTGTGATTTGTTGCAGGCTTGTGGGAAGCTTCTATGTGCATGGCGTCTCACCTGATTTGTGCAAACAGTTTCAATTGGAGGCTCAATGATTTGAAATCCAGGTTTTGTATGTGTATATGCTGTATATGTTTTCCAGTTGAACTGGTTCGTTCGACGTCATCTAATTCTACACCTGTTCCAGGGTAACAGCAAGAACGGAATCACTGTGACATGGTCAAGATTCTCGAGCATCGAAGATGTGTCAGGACCCCAGTGGAAATTAAGGGAAAGATTGTCAGTAGATTCGAAAAATTGTTTTGGTCAGTCTTTCAATCCTGAGCACATGCATATGCTTGTGATGTGCGATCCTGTCTGTCATGTTCGTTATGTTATTGTGACTGCATGCTCAAGACTCCCCTAGATCATAAAGGTCATTGTGATTTGACTTATGCCTTCCGAAGTCCCTGCCGATGAAAGCCATGCTGGGGTACCCAATGAAAATGTCGGTGAAGTGCCAACAATCCAGCCAGTCCAACAAGTCCATCCAATGCTAGCCAGTCCATGGGGGTGGTATGCTGCACTGGGTGCTAGGATGCTCCAGCCAATGTATCTGGGCCAGGGTTTCAATCCTATGATGATGGGATGGCAAATGCCAATGATGGGATGGCCTCAAGTAGTACCTCAACAGCAAAATGCACCTGTGGAATCTACGGATGAGACGCTTGGACATGTGCAGCCTGGCGATGAAGGACCAGTGGAACTGAACACCGAAAAGTCTTTACCATCTGCATCGACCGAACACCTGTGCCCCCGAATCCTTTGCTTGAACCAGGCCAGGTTCCAACCTACATGACCGAAGCAATTTATGGTGGAGCAACTGTGCCAGGTGAAGTACCTGTTGTTGCACCAACCATGCCTGATGGAGTACATGAAGGTGGACCAACTCTGCCTGCTGAAGTACCTGTAGTTGAATCAGCTGTGCCACCATCTGAACCTCATCCTGGACCTCCTAGATCAGATGACTCTGATGAGTCTGAATATGTAGAACAAGAGCAGGAGAATTGGAATGAGACAACCGATGAACGGTCGACCAGGGGGTGGAACCAGTGGCAATAT